CGGCGCCGACCCGTGTCCTAAATAAGCCTCCCTCAACCCTCAAACATTTTTTTATCATCCAGTTTGTTTCCTTACCTCTTGGTTACCTTGTTAGGCTTCCTTATCCATGAAAAGATTTTAAAATTTGGTTTTACAATTTTTGGTGTGGTCCTCTGAAGACGAGACGTATGATGTCAATAGAACGGCCCAGTCCAAAAAAAAATGGTAAAATAAACCTCAGGAGAATTATATAAATAAATCAAAGGTTTATATGTTACCTGACTATTACTGAGGGGTATTAGAACACAACTGAGAAAACAAAAAAATTACAATTTTTTATTTTAATAATTTTACTATCAATATCAATATTATTAATATTAGTAACATCTGTGGTGTTAGGGTTGGTTTTGACCCATTTATATTTACTTCAAGAAGTAGGCAAAAAAAGTATTTTTTTTTCCAAAAGTTGAACTTTAATTCAAATCACAAAGACAAAGCCAAACAAGTAAGACAAAATAAAACACAAAATAAATTACAAAATGCAGATCAAACAAACAATCAAACCAACAGAATTAGTAGTTTACACTATGTGCAAGTAGGACAGTAAGTGACATTTTTAGTGTGCTCTTTGCAAATATATTTCTGGCATTTGACACACATTGCATTGGTTTTTCTGTCCTTGCTGCTTGGGCAGACCTGACATCGCTTTCTTTTGGAATCCACCAGCCTCTCTGGGTCTGTGGCTGCGGCCGGGCTGGCTGAGGAGGATGCTGGTGCTGAAGCTCTTCGTCTTCCTGCTGACGTGGATGGAGTGTTTGCCGAGGTCTGCAGCTGTCTGACCACAGCTGCAGCGGCTGGGTCTCGATGCACCCGTTCCCTTTTTTCAATGTGTCCCTTTATAAGAGAATCCCCTAGTTCTTTGAGAAACATTCTTCGCCTTTGATTCTTGCTTGCATTCCACCCTTGGTGGATTTGGGTCCACAACACAAATGCGTTGTAGGCTGACACATCCAGGATATTGTAGAACAATACCACTGGCCATCTCCTGGTCATGCGCTGGCATGTATAGGTGGCAGTCAGCTTGTCCAGGTTGTCCACCCCTCCTTTGTTTTTATTGTAATCCAAAATAATGATGGGTTTTTTCTCTTTTGCTGATGACACAGCAGTGTCCTTGTGGAGTGTGGACATGAGTTTCACACAGTTTTTTTTTTTGGACAATATGACACAATAGTGGTTGTGTCTGTAAAGGCAAATTTTGAAGACGCTCATCTATGGTAACCTCTGGCCCTGGATTGAACATCAAAGGCAGGCGCTGCACCCATCTCTCCCAGACATCCCTT